CCCCCACTTCTGCAGGGCCTCGTCCCCCCGTCACACTTCCTGGCCCCCAGTACCAGGTAAGGGCTCCCAGTGCTCCCAGTAACGTCCCAGTTACCCTCCCCACCCCCCACCCAGTGCTCCCTGTAGTCCCCAGTTATCCCAGTAAACCCCCATGCACCCAGTTGTCCCCCTACATACTCCCTAGTTCTTACTGTGCTTTCATATTCCCAGTAGCTGCCCAGTAATCCCAGTAACCCCCCCAGTGTTCCCACTGACCTCCCAGTGGCCCTCAGTGCTGTCAGCAGCCATCCCAGTAACCTCTCCAGTGCTCCCAGTAACATTCCAGCGTTCCCACTGACGTCCCAGTGCCCCTCAGTGCTGCCAGTAGCCATCCCAGTAACCCCCCAGTGCTCCCAGTAACATTCCAGTGTTCCCACTGACTGCTGCCAGCAGCCATCCCAGTAACCCCCCCAGTGCTCCCAGTAACATTCCAGCGTTCCCACTAACCTCCCAGTGCCCCTCAGTGCTGCCAGCAGCCATCCCAGTAACCCCCCCAGTGTTCCCACTGACCTCCCAGTGGCCCTCAGTGCTGTCAGCAGCCATCCCAGTAACCTCTCCAGTGCTCCCAGTAACATTCCAGCGTTCCCACTGACGTCCCAGTGCCCCTCAGTGCTGCCAGTAGCCATCCCAGTAACCTCTCCAGTGCTCCCAGTAATATTCCAGTGTTCCCACTGACCTCCCAGTGCCCCTCAGTGCTGCTAGTAGCCATCCCAGTAACCCCCCCAGTGCTCCCACTGACCTCCCAGTGCCCCTCAGTGCTGCCGGTAGCCATCCCAGTAACCCTCCCAGTGCTCCCAGTAACCTCCCAGTGCCCCTCAGTGCCGCCGGTAGCCATCCCAGTAGCCCCCAGTGCTCCCTGCGATGGCCCAGTTTCCCCCTCCAGTGCTCCCAGTAACCCCGTGGTGTCCCCAGTGCACTCCCACCAACCCTCCCAGTGCTCCCAGTAACCTCCCAATGCCCTTCAGTGCTGCCGGTAGCCATCCCAGTAACCCCCAGTGCTCCCTGCGATGGCCCAATTTCCCCCTCCAGTGCTCCCAGTAACCCCATGGTGTTCCCAGTGCACTCCCATCAACCCTCCCAGTGCTCCCAGTAACCCCCGGAGCCTGGACACCGAGGTCTCCCTCTTGCAGGTCCCTGGAGGCGGAGCTTGAGGCTGAGAGGAGGCGGAGCCAAACCTTGAAGGCGGAGCTTGAGGCTGAGAGGAGGCGGGGCCATGATTTGGAGGTGGAGCTGTAACCTCCCAGTGCCCCTCAGTGCCGCCGGTAGCCATCCCAGTAGCCCCCAGTGCTCCCTGCGATGGCCCAATTTCCCCCTCCAGTGCTCCCAGTAACCCCATGGTGTTCCCAGTGCACTCCCATCAACCCTCCCAGTGCTCCCAGTAACCCCCGGAGCCTGGACACCGAGGTCTCCCTCTTGCAGGTCCCTGGAGGCGGAGCTTGAGGCTGAGAGGAGGCGGAGCCAAACCTTGAAGGTGGAGCTTGAGGCTGAGAGGAGGCGGGGCCATGATTTGGAGGTGGAGCTTGAGGCTGAGAGGAGGCGGGGCCACGATTTGGAGGCGGAGCTTGAGGCTGAGAGGAGTCTCCCAGTGCCCCTCAGTGCCGCCGGTAGCCATCCCAGTAGCCCCCAGTGCTCCCTGCGATGGCCCAGTTTCCCCCTCCAGTGCTCCCAGTAACCCCGTGGTGTCCCCAGTGCACTCCCACCAACCCTCCCAGTGCTCCCAGTAACCTCCCAATGCCCTTCAGTGCTGCCGGTAGCCATCCCAGTAACCCCCAGTGCTCCCTGCGATGGCCCAATTTCCCCCTCCAGTGCTCCCAGTAACCCCATGGTGTTCCCAGTGCACTCCCATCAACCCTCCCAGTGCTCCCAGTAACCCCCGGAGCCTGGACACCGAGGTCTCCCTCTTGCAGGTCCCTGGAGGCGGAGCTTGAGGCTGAGAGGAGGCGGAGCCAAACCTTGAAGGTGGAGCTTGAGGCTGAGAGGAGGCGGGGCCATGATTTGGAGGTGGAGCTTGAGGCTGAGAGGAGGCGGGGCCACGATTTGGAGGCGGAGCTTGAGGCTGAGAGGAGTCGGGGCCAGTCCCTGGAGGCGGAGCTTGAGGCTGAGAGGAGGCGGGGCCAGTCCC